CAATTGAACAGAGATGAAATGGCGCATGCGAAGGGTGGAGGCATCGGCGTAAACTGCCGCTACAGAGCCCAGCAATAACAACATGACAACGGAAAGGAAGTGAACGAACACAGATACAGAATTTCGCCAAAATTCCCGAGAAAAGTTAGGGGAAAGGAAGTTGGAGGGGAAAGATTTCTTTTCGCGAGGGATCACTACGCAAATATGTAACGCTCCGATCACAAGCAGACCGAGTGTGCCTACTAAACTTGAGCCTAGGTGCGTTTTTTTTATTTAATTAATTACGAATTCTGATTGGCCATCATTTGTTCAGTTTCTTCTCTCTCCCATCGTCCGATTGATAAAAAAAAATATGCAGTGGAAAGTTATGCGGAACAAATGATTCCACAAGAGACATAACGATTAAGAGCGTATCCTCGGATAGATGGGCACTACAGCGCGCCGCGTAATGATTTTCGGGTGAAAAAATATCAGGCAAGGAGACTAGGTCAAGTTGCGAACCTTTTGCTTGCCAGGCGACCGCTTTTCTACCGAGGCTCGATATCGCTTGACTACTCTCTCACCAAATAAAGTGAGAGATAATATATTATCAGCGCGACAATGGCGAGCTCGTAGTCTCTCTGGAACTGAGCAATCCCCGCAGGTGCGGCAGAGGCAACGTCAGGGAGACCGGGCACCGAGGGTGGATTCTCAAAATGGGTGGAACACTCCTTCTGGAGCATCTCTCTCAACGAAATCTCAATCTCTATCAAGGAACGCTCGACATTAGGCTGGCGCTGAACAGCCGTCTCGATCTCAGCTACCATAGTGTCAAGACCATTCAATTTATGACGGATGCAATCGATAAAACCCAACGATTTCAGTCGGATAATCCTGGAATCCCAGGTTGACATGTTCGCCGTTGAACTATTGTTTACCCATGACGGTATACCTTCTGGGCGCTTGGGAAAAGCGGAGGCAAAGCCTCCGCCATAACTAGAAGGCCAGAGGCCTACCATTGCAGCGAAACAAAGGCCTACCATTGCAGCGAAACAGAGGCCTACCATTGCAGCGAAACAAATCCTGTTCGAAAGCAGATACATGGTCTGTTCTTTAATAAAATGACACGTAAATCGAATGATTCCAGTTAATTTTGTAGGATTTAAGATTGTGTTTTGTTTGCTGGCTCGCGTGTATATGTCGTTTTTTTTGGTCGCGCATCGACCGTGAGATACCGCGGGATAGCCGAACTCGGCTCGTTGCGAAGGAGACAGCTAGTACCGCGCGCACGAGACCGACCGTGTAAGTTTTCTACTATATTCCGACTGATATTATATATCACGAGACACGGTAGTGTCTCGCGCCAAGTGTAAGCGCAGCTAGTACCGCCCGTGTAAGTTTACACGAGTTGACGGGCCATCAGATT